CGGGCCAGCTTGCACGCACCTTGACTAATCACGGACCAACCGCCTGACCGTACTATGATTGACAAGGTAACTCGTAGGATATTAAATCCTAAGTAGGTGACTACCATGGTTTGAAACATTCCCTCTAAGCTCTTTGCTATTTACATTGGCCCTTATTGACCACTAGGCCATCTCTAACCAAATCTCCTATAAGATGGCAAAAAAAGCAAAGTGCTAAAGAACACAACCCTTATCCCAAAAAGGAGGGTTGAAGAGAACCTCCTCCATTGTAAAGAAACAACTATTCCGAGCCAAAAGGATGCAAAAAGACTCCAGAAAACAATTCCAAATCAGGCACTGATCCAAGCCCTCTGATGCACCCCTACAAAGAATGCATTTATAAGAAAGGCCTCATGATCTAGATCACGGTATTACCACTCTCCTACATAACTTGTCACGCAAAGAATTTGACCTTTTTGAAGGCTTTTACCTTCCATACAAGGAGAATAAAGAGGATTGGGAAACGCAAGGGCAACACAAGAGATGGAATTACAAATACTAGAAGCACCATAGGGATATTTTCCTTCTTTGAATCACATGATATCCACTCAAGTATATGTTTTTTTTATATATAGAAACTAATTTTCATCTCATGAAAGAACAAAATACAAGGAAAGACTCACTAAAAGATTGGTCCAATCAAAGGAAAGGGAAAACCCTGCAAAAAAATTACAAAAACAGCTTCCAACTAAGTAATAAAAAAAAATAAAGAATAGTTACAAAATACAATAGCATTGAGAGCCTAAAGAGAAGGGTTGGAAAAGACCAAATTCCATACATCCTCGAAAGAACTTTTTTTACAAAGAGAGATCATATAATGTTATTCCACTCAACATTGGCTGAAGCGAAAACTGAAAAGTAAGAAAAAAGATTTACTTGAGAAGAAAGTCTCTTTTGGATTTTATCAACCATCGAGTCCCAAAATAAGAGGCTCTAGGATTATTGCTCAAAGGAAGACCTAAATAAGACATAACTACGTAAGAAAAGAGATGCCCTCACATCTAAAGGACCAAACCCAATCCGCAATCCCCAAGTTTACTTTTATCACAATTGACCCCATTACCCTATAAAGAGAAATTCTCTCTATTTAACCTGAAGGCCCGACAAAAGCTCGAAAAAATGAAATACAAGGCAAATTTTCGACATGCCTCGCTTCTTGAGCAAAAGAAAATAGTGTCATCAGTACATTGTAATTGAAAACTTGAACACAATCCTCACTGATTTTGAACCCCTTAATAACTCTCTTGTCCATTGTCCCTTAATACCTGATGCCTGATACCCCTAGTAGCAAAAACAAATTTCCTAGGCTTACCGTTAATTAATATGGAGAAATTGGTAGACCTCAGACAATTTCCCAGTCGGGTTCTCCACCTGTCACCAAAGCCTTTTTACATAAAATTTTATTCATAAATTCCCAACTCACACGATTTAGGCTCTTTCAAAGTCAATCTTAAAGATAATAGTAATACCCCCCTTGACTCGACAATCTTCTCATGCCTCACTAACTTTAGAGCCTGGTCAAGGATTTGTCTCCCGCTCACATAGACCGCTTAGGATGGGAAATGGTGCTAAGGAGGATGACCTTTTTCATTCTTTTCGCAGTAAGTATTAATATGATCCTGTAATGGCTAGAAATGAAGCTAAAATGCCTAAAAACCTTGACTTTCCTAGCATTCGACTTCTTTGGAATTAAAAGTCTTGTTCATGGTTGCATCCACGACACAACACCTCCATCATAGAAGTCATTGAAAACCCAAAAGGCCAAAACAAATCAGTTTTTATTAAATCCCAAGTCTCTTGAAGAAAAGCCACAGAGAAACCATTTGGGCCAAGAGCCTTAACTTGCAATAAACATTCCGGCCTTAATTTCTTCTAGTAAAATTGGAAGCTCGAGGATATCCCATGCAACATCGCTAATGGGGTGCCAATCTATACCATCAATAGATAAGTAGGGAGTAGCATTAGGCGCATACAAGGCAGGATAATTCCAAAATATTTTCTTTGATGACTCTATCTTCGGACACTATACTCCCATCCTTCAACATAGAGAAAAAAAATATAGTTCTTATGTATTTTACTTTTTGCATTGCCTATTTGATGAAAGTAGGAGGTGTTGCAATCTCCTTCTTTGACCAATTTTACCTTAGTCTTCTGCCTCCATTTTGTCTCTCTCTCCTAAGCGAGAACCTCAAAATCCCCCTTAAGACTATTTCTCTCCTCCCACTCTTCCTTGCTTAAAGAACCAAGAGACTCTTTTCCATCTAGTGCTTTGATGCTGGAAATAATTCCCTGCTTATTCATTCTAAGGTCCCAAGCACACTCCAATTCCACTCTTTCAACTAGGGTTTGACGGCCTAGAGTCTCATTATGAATCTGAACCCTTCCTATCTTCCTTCCACTTCCTCTGCCACCATTCTCTTACGGTTCAAGAGATGGATATTGCAGCCACATGTCATCAAACTGAAGGGCAAGGGCCGCAAGGCTCGAAGAGCCCCACACTAGGTGTGTTTGCCAAAATCACTTTTGCCATTATCAAAATCACTTTCCTTTACATTGAGCAAATTAAAAAATTGAATTTTAAGAAATCACTTAAATGGTGATTTTATACTTAAATCGTTTTTTTTTTTCAAAATTACTCCTTCTACCGCCACTCTACAACACACCCTAGTAGGCCAATGATCGGAAGTGATTGTAAACTACCTAATGCCCAAAATAAGTCCATCCAACTGTTGATAGGAAACTACCCTAAATTCGATAGGAAATGAATTTGAAGGCTAAAACCAGAATCTGAAGCAGATTAACAAGCAAAGATGGAAGTAGGAGAAAGGAAATGATGGTATGAGAGTACCTGGTAGTGAAAAGCTTGAGAAATTGAGCGAGCGCAAAGGAAAGGAAGGCGGATAGGAGAGGGAGATTTGCAGGGAGAAGTGAGGGCTTGGATGAAACGTCAGCTGCTACGAGGACTTCGTCCATGGGAATCGGGAAGCCGAACCCCAACGCGGAATTAATTAATTACTTGACAAGAGAAGAAATGGGAACGCTGCGCTGCGGAGAAGAAAGGATCGTCGATCTTCATTCGGTGGAGTTGGAGTTGTTGGGCCTTCAAATGGGCCGACATTATTTACACTCCTCGATTCAGTCCAGTCCGTTTCTCCACACTACATGGCAGAGTTGGGGTTTCGATCCCAAGATTGTCGTCCTTATTTATTATTTCTTTATATTTAATTTTGTTTGTTATTTTGTTTAAATAATTAGATTTGATTTTTATTATACTCTTTCCATATTTGAATTCAGTTTATTTAATACAATATATTCAAACTTTTCAAAATCTCTCTCGGAGTCTCCCAACCTAATAAATCCTAGTATTTTCTCCTATTAGAGTTAAGTTCCAAATTTTTCTTTTCGTAATTCAAATCATTTGAATTCTGTCTCGCTGTTATTTTACTTTTCATTCTTCATAAGCATAAGATTTCCACAGCCGAATTATTCAGATCGTTGATTTCGTTGGTCGCACCGCACAGTTTTGTCGTAGCTTGGTTATGTTGTCTTCGAAAAGAGCGGTGGCTGGGGAGACTTTGGTAAATATTAGTTCTTTTTTTTTTTTTTTTTGCATTTCTTAATCAATTCTGTAAATTTCGTCGCTATTTATCTTAGGTTATGTAATATTCAATTTTAGGTTATAACACAGTATTCTTATTCAACTAATGTAAATATATTATACATTCAGTTACGTATACTAGGTTATATAACATATCCCGTGTACTTTATTTAATATACTTTATTATTACGTTATGTTATATATTATGTAAATATAGAATACATTCAATTACGTATACTAGTTTATACAATATATCACGTTACAACAAAATGTTATATCTGAACACAATTAAAAAAATCATTATTATCCCTCGGGTAGTTACTAAATATACACATTTTGTACATAATGAAACCATGTATCAAATATTGACATCTTCACATGTTATTGTATTTCTAGATATTTAATTTATACATGTATATCTCATTAGATCAAAAGTAAGGGAAGAAAAACAAAGAGTTAAATTGACAATAACATATATGTTGCATATTTCGTTTTTTATTGTTTCGAATTATAACACGTTCCGATTAAGGAATCGTGTGCAACAAACACTAAACAGGTTCATAAAATTTATACTCTTATATACTATAAAGAGGTTCATAAATTTTATACCTGTATATATAATATACCAAAGAACTCAATCCAGAATAACTAAATGCTCTTAAACAAAGAGTTAAAGTGACAACGAATATGTTGTATATTTCGTTTTTTATTGTTTCGAATTATTGTTGGAAATTAAAAGAGGAATTAGATGGAAACGATTATTGTGTCGTGGAAGAATCACTCCCTTGAAATCAATTTCGACACGACCATAGTGCTAAATCGTATGTACTTCAGTTGTTTTCCAAGGTTAACACAACATCCAACTCGGACGTGCACTCGTTAGAGTAGATCTGAATGGAAACGTAGCTCAGAATTTTGTAATTATTATATTTTAATTATTAATTAATTAATATTTAATATTTAACTCCCCTCCATTTTAGTAGAGGAGTGGGGAGTACTCCCAGGTTGGTTTTGTTTTGCAGAAAGGTTCTGCTTAGTACCGAAAAGAAGAATTCCCAGTATATCTATCTCAAGTTGTCTCTCAATTCTCCTACTTGTTCCAAACAAAAGCTCCCATAAGCACGATCTCGTACCCAAAGGATATCACGGAAGATCATTTGGTGGTGTTCGGGAGATTGAATCGTTGAAGAAGAGTTTTTCAAAGGTAAGGGAAAACATTTTCCCCTATATTTCACATTTTGCATTATGAGTTTTGTTCTTCTAAAATTCATGAACGAAGATCATCGCATCTCATCACTCTTCTGTTCGGAGTGCCGCTATCCCTCGTTTCTCATCCATGGAGAAGTGCAACGCTGTAGCTGCCCCCTCCTTCGAACAACTTGTCGGTGGAAACCGACTTAATCGACCGACCGAATCGAGGTCGTCTCGATCGGGGCAAGAGAGATTTAAAGAGAAGTCAGTTTTTTAAATTGAAACTGGCTAGGTCGATTTTGGTCAAAAACCGACTCCGACCGAACGATGATCAGCCCTAACATAATAAGCCAAAAGACTTTTATGAGCATTAAATCATTTATAATTCTTACAAAAATTGAAAATTGTCCAAAGCCTTTTCTATGGATTTCTCGTAGACGTACTTGGTTCCTAAAGAAGGAAGGTTGAGCCAAATAGCATGGGTTAGGCGTGCAAGATCCGTGGCAAAAAATGTGAGGAAGAACGGCAAAGAAGGCACTACAACAAATCAGGGTTTAATGTAGGACAAAAAAGATACGGAGGAAACAATGACAGAGAAATTAAAAAGGCTCTAAATTTAGAAAAAACAAAAAGGTTACCCAATGTTTAAACCTAACTTTAATTTTCACCTCATATTTTCACTCCAAAAAATTTTTGCCTCCCAAATCTATTGTCTCGCGAAATAGCTCCATTGTCATGGGAAGGGTGAGCGAGCGGTGACGATCTGGCGGTGAGAGAGACGAAGAACTCCGACGATGACCTTCATCTCTTCGATCGACGAAGACATTCATCTCTTTAAACGGCAGCGACCTTCATCTCTCCAAGCATTTAATGATGGTTTTATTTTGTAGGTCTGTTGATTTACTCGTTTTGTTTATTCACTCTTCGTTGTTTGCGATTATTCCTTGATTTTGGTGAAGTTCGAGCCCATCGGATCTTGCTGCTACGATCGTTGCTCTTGCTAGAATGATAGTGGAAGATTCGAGAAAGATATTGCCTCCTCAGTAGTATCCCTCTTGGGTCGTATTCTCCTAGAGCCAAAAGTTGAGTTTTCTTCTCACTTTTTCCTCTTTTAAGTTTCGCTTATGGATGAAGGAGCAACATATTTTTCCTGTTCCTGGAGGATTTTGCCCCATTTTGCATTTGACTTGGCTAAATCAACATCTTACCAAGATATGGCCATATGTTAATGAGGTAGATTTTTTTTATGGGTTTTACTGTAATTATATGTTCTTGATGTGTTAGGTCTCATTCTTAATGTCACCTTATTAATTTACCATATCTTTTTGCCCCAATGAATGCTTAGGTGATAAGAGATAGGGGTCGAAAAGACCCAAACCATGTTCAAGTCTTTAACTTTAGAAACTTAATAACTCTAAATCATTATTGTCTCTTGAAACTGTACTGGGTGGACAAATCCATCATAGAGATATTAGTCGGGCTAGTTATTAAAAAAAAAGCTAGTATATTGTCTCAAATAAAATGATATTTCTTTTTTATTTCTTTTCAAAATTTCCCTCCAAGTAATGTTATCCGGAAGAAAGTTTATGAACACTCTATTTTAAAGTTCATTTGAAGTTCTTATTGTCTTATTATTTTTTAAAACAAACAAAAGAAAAGACATTCATCTTGTTTGGAGTCAACAAAACATACATTCTCTATTGTAAAATATTTGTGCATTTTTGTCCGATTAGTATGAGAACTAAAGACATTTATCCCTCTTTTGTTTAGCTATCATATTTACAAAAATTTCCCATGTATTTTACTCTTAGTAGTGACAGCTTCTTTCACTAATTGTTAAGAAACTCGATTTGTTGTGGAATGCTTTAGAATTATCTATAATTTGGTTAACAATGGGTGTTGTCTTCTCTAAAACAATAAAACCACGATAATATGAATCATTGGTTTGATGTATTTTGGTGTGGTTTTGGGTTAGTTCAATAAGTGTCAATTTGTCCATTTAAATTGATGGACTTTCTCACTGGTGGAGTTGTACCGTAAGTATTTGTTATTAGTTTCCTTTGACTTGCACTCAACGGTTCAGTGTTTCTTCCATTAATTGGTCTTCGTTGTTGTCCAGTATCTTTGGTTGCTTGATCCTGGGTTATGTTACTTTTGTACATGTTGACGAACTGTGATTAACTAAAAAACTGTCATTTCATTTCTTCTTGGACTATAGGTACAAAAGCTTAACAAGAAATTGATTGGTTGAAGGCTGAAGTTGAGGACACAGAAAAAATGTTGATAATGATTTATGCGCTACTCCTGATGCACTACAACAAATCTGTTTGTTTTTGTGTGTACTATGCCCCCACCTACTGTCAATAACTCAGTCATTCCAACACTATCAATATTCAGTAAGGATGATACTTACACTGTTAATAATGTTTGACGTGAAATTTATTATAGTTTACATTGGATACTGACACTTTATTATCGAAGATGGGTCCTGGATATGGATTTAAGACGATAATTTGTTTGAAAAAAGTAAAAACCAGTAGTTCAAAACAAGCTAAAGGTATCATAATGAAATTTCTTTGGCTTAGACTGTGTCTATTTTAATTCTTATTTTATGTATATTATGATTTTTACCTGTTTGAGAAATAAAATTGCCAAGTTTCACAAGTCTCTCCATTATTTTTCATTATCTCACTCTTATGTATATTTTACATGTGTCTATTACCTTGATAAAAAGTAGGCTATTCTTATTGGAAGATGATAATTTTCTTGGCAAATATTTATAATTTCCGAAGAAAACAAACTAATGTAGAGATTTATTCAATCATCTAAACTTGACAAATTCAGACTCGTACCTGTTTGGGGAAGCAGCGTGTTCCAAGTCTTCCATTGATTTTATTCTTCACCGAAAAAGAAACCTGGTTAAAAAGTTTCTTTTTGTATTGTAGAATTTTGCATATTCAAATTGATGAAACCGACGTAAAAATAAAACAAATAGACTCGTCTCAAGATCATTTCCAATCAATTTCCTGTTCTGGATCTGGATGCACCCCGCCCCTCATGTAATGGGAAATTGGGTTTTTGTCAATTTTCTTAATTGAATTTGTACTTTATACATTCTCTGTAAAATCTCTTATTCCTTCCCGATTTTTCCTTTCTATTTTTTCACTTATTTTAATTTTTTGATTTTGTAAAATTACCAAAACATCTTCATTATTTTTTTAAATAAAAAAGCAAATTTTTCTTCATAATTTTTATAGTTTATTCCCTAAAAAATCTCAACTTTTTAATTTGAATAATGAATTTCCCATAAATTAACTTATACGTATTATTATCTATCTTTATGTATTTATATATTGATTTATTCGTATATTAAGATTATCTTTCTTTCTGGGGTTGGCTTTGCCAAAACTACCATTGTAGATATGTCATGGAGAAGTTGTCATTACTGATTCCTGATTTTAGTAGTGTTAGAACAGACCTGTGGGTGATGGGTCTCATTAGTGGTCAAGCTGTTACATCTTGGTCAGACCCGTGATTGAGATGTCCTCATTCCTTGGCTACCGAGTCGTTCATGGTTTGGACCCGTGAATGAGCTGCGTGTCGGGCCGTGACCTGTCACATCACGGTTAGATTCGTGACTAAGACGGGCTTGGATTCCTTCGTGACCAAGCAGGCTTCGACCTATTGTTCAAAGACCATCGGTCCGAGTCCAACTCTCTCATATTTGGAGCTATATAAACCCACTGCCTCCCTTCGGATGTTGCACACTCCCATCGCTTGAGATAACTTTCCTTTTCTCCTTTTTCCTATGGCGTCCAGTAATGATCTAAATTTTGAATGGAGTACCTCATATGAGTCATCTTCCAACCCTTTTTTTGGGTCTAGATCATTCCACCCTCACTTCAAGGGAATTGCGTGCCTTTGTTTGAAGTATCGTATCTCGGACTCTGTTAGTCTATGGATCTCAGGTCCCAACGAAAGCATTGATAGGTCTTCTCCTGGCGAGGTCGTATTTTATGTGGCCATGTTCAAATTCGGCGTCCGTCTACCTCTCTCCTTATTTCTCCAAAACTTCCTAGCTTTCAACCAAGTGGCTTCTTCCCAAATTGTTCCGAATGGGTAGTCCACACTAATCAGTTGCTTCATCTTGTGGTCTTACCTTAGGGGCGACCAGCCTATGACCGCTTCCAATTTCATGTCGCTTTATTATCTTAAACACAGCCTCGATGACAATTTACATTTCTATGTTAGCTCCCGAAACCAGGTCTTAATTATGGGTCCTTCTTCTGTAAAGAACTGGAAAGATGAATGGTTCTTTGTCGGTGGTGACTGGCTGGCTTGTGATGACAATAGATTGCAGTTCCCTATCCCCACAGAGTGTAGGGAACTAGGTGAGTAGATTCCCGAGCTCTATCAGGACTTCATTCCATGTCGTTTTCTGAAGTCGTTTTTCTTTTGTTGACAGCTCCTGTAATTGTGAGCTCACCGCTGCAGTGTTGGACTTCTACAATACTGTCATCCAGCTTTTAGACACTGAGCGGTGAGGTCAGCTACTGTAGTTATCCATGTGCATTTGAAGTAGCACCACGTCAGCTACTGTAGTTATCCATGTGCATTTGAAGTAGCATGTGTTCTAATGCTTGCCTTTGACCTTGGCAGATTTTTAACCGCCTGGTTGTGTTTTCGGGTAGGGTTGTCAACGAGATTAATCATCTCCGTCACTCTTATGCTCTTCGGGTTAGTTGGATTACGCTCTTTCTTCTTTGAACCAGGCTAACAGCTTGCTAAAGAACACCCAACGTGACTTGAAGACAGAGAGGATGAGGTCTCGAGCTGATTTGGCCAACTTGCAGAGAAAGCTAGATGAGGTCAAGGCTCAGCTCTCCAACACTGAATTTTTGGCTGAAGAGTTCAAGAAGACCTTGGAGTATGTTGACTTGTAAAATGCTACCATGAAGTGTGGTGTCTCATGGTCCCTTCGTCAGGTCTCCAATGAACATCCCAACATCGACTACTCCTTCCTCCAAGAGCGCTTTAGAGCTGAGTGTGATGTGCCTAATGATATGTACGATGATGATGATGACCAGTAGGAAAATAACAAGTCGATCTACCACATGGCTTCTCTTTCCTTTCCATGTTTTGAAAAGTTGTTCGTCATTGTTGCTGTTGTTGTTACAGTTTGAAAAGTTGTTCGTCGTTCCGTTAGTAGTTACCTTTGCTAGAATTTTCAATTAAATATCTTTTGGCATTACTATTGATTTGCTTTCACCATTAGTTTTATTAGCCTAAGGCTCTAACTTTGGCGGAGCAGATTTGCATACCCCCAATTTCCATAGGTTTCTAACAAATTGGCCGTGACCAACGATTTTACACCTTTTGGTTTAGTTGTTTTCTTTTGACCTTGGCTTTTTTGCTCTACCTTGCGTTTTAACTTGTTAGGCTGGGTAGCCCGCTTGTGGTTTGGCCTTGATTGAGCTCTTTAACCGTTTTTCAGCCTTTGTTGACCATCTGTTCCCCCTACTTAAGGAATATACGGAATAAGATTTACTGCTCAAGTATGTAGATAATAAGAATTTTATTGAACCAAAAAATACGGAATCAAATAATTTGTTGAACATAATTTAGGTCTCTTTCGAAAAAAAAAAGAGCAAAAGACATAAAATCCAAAAAGATGCATTATCCTAAAATTGTACTCATTGGTCAATCAACTCCAAGTAGCAATGGTAATTTTGAGGTAGAGGTTTTACTCTTGTTGCCTCTTAATGAAGTGTAGTAACACTCGCGCGATACCCGTTGCTCCCCTTTAACTTCACCCACACCCTCTAGCGTTGGGAACTTCATGGATTGGTGGTAGGTTGAGGGTATCGCCTTTAGTATATGTATGGTCGGTCTCCCCAATATCGCGTTATAAGAGGAAGAGTAGTCAACAAATAAGAATTCCACCATCTTAGTGACGCTTTTCGCCCCACTTCCAAACGTCACCAATAGCTTTATCTTCCTTTCTGGAATGACCTGTTCTCCTCTGAACCCTACCAGCGGGACCAAGTTGCTCTTCAGAATTCTACCACCCAAATTCGTAGCTTTGTAGGCTGTTAGTGATATGATGTCAGCCGAGCTGTCCCCATCTACCAGGACCTGATGTACCTTTGCGTTGGCTATTTTAAGAGTAATGACCAGGGTGGAAGAGGTGGGTTACCTCATCCTCTGAGAACTCGATCTTGGAGACCTAACCTAAAAAGAATGTATGATAAATGTCGTACTACCTCATGCTTGCCTTAGCCTCTCGCACACTCGCCTTTCTCTTCCTACCAGACTCTCTCTCCATTAGACCTCCCAGTATTGTCCGTCTCCCTACTGCTGTCCCCTGTGGGAGTTCGAGCCATGTCTCAGTCCCAGTATGGCTGATTATCCGAAAAGACCAGAACCGATTCAATCAATGCGACTTCGGATTAGCCTTGTAGATAGAGAAGGGCTTCTGATTCTGTATGACAACAGAACGAGCATTCGCTGAACGGCCAAAGATCTCCCTGGTAGGGGATTTGCTGTCGCGTTTGTCGCTCGGGGTCACCTTAGGATCATCTACATACTCCTTGAGGTATCCTCTCCGGATGAGACCCTCAAGTTCTTCCTTCAGGTCGAAGCAATCATGTGTCGTATGGTCGTGATTTCGATGAAAAAGGCAATATCGCCCCTTGCTCCTTTTGTTTGACGGTGCTTTCATTCTCTCCGACCATTTGAGCAGACTTTGGACTTTAATCTCCATCAGCACTTGTTCGAGTGGGACCGTAGTCGGGGTGTACTTCTCAAACTTTCGGGATTGATCCATTTGGTTAGTCCGATCTCGCCTAGCCCCTATTCTGTCCCATCTCGACCCATGTTGCTTTTCCCCTGATCTTTCTCTTTTCTGCTCTACCCATTTTCCCTCGGGAGTTCTTTTTTAGTGAAAGAATTCCCCAGCACTCATATATTTTTAGGCTCGGTTCAGCGCTTCTGAAAAGGTGCTCGGAGTTTTCTTTCCGAACGAGAACGACATGTGCTCATCTTTTATGCTAGACATGAAAGCTAGCAGCGACACCGCGTCAGTTAGTCGTTCAACTTGTTGCTTTTCCTCATTCAACCTAGCCACGTAGCCTTTGGGGCTCTCTATTGCTCTCTGCTTTATGGTCAGGAGAAGCTACTGCTCGACTTTGATTTCACCCTCCCACGAACTGGGTCATGAACGCCCTAGCTAGGTCTTTAAAACTTGAAATTGACCCTCGTTTCAACTGTCGAAACCAGACCCTGGCTGAGCCAATTAGGGTAAAAGAAAACACTCAGCATCTAATGGCCTCAGTCACCCGGTAGATGTCCATCCATCTCGGTAGGCATTGAGGTGGTCTATCGGATCGGTCGACCCGTCGAATTGCTTTATGGCTGGGAGCTTAAATTTTGGAGGGACATTTTCTCCCATTATTTCCTCCGTGAACGGAGAGTCGGCCTGGTCTATCAATTCTTCGAGGTCGAATATGTTCTTCTTCTGGCTTAACAGCTTCTCTGACGGCTCGGGTCGATTCTACGGCCTTTCCTTGTCGATGTCGATAAGAC